CAAGCATGGAAGAGGGTAGGCGGCGATGGATCGGACGGCAAGAGAGAAAATGCACTTATTGGCCAGCGTCTGCGTGCTCATATTGATCGGCGGCGGTGGCTGTAGAGTGTCTACCAGTGTCTACGGGTGGGACGACACCTGAAACCTGTCGAAAAATGCATTTTTCTCTGCGGCTCGCGCGTCTCCTCCTCGTCTCCGCTGTTTTTTGCGTTGGTAAGCGATCAATTAGCCCGGCCTGCCGATCGGTACATCGTTGCCCATCGTTTCGAGGCAACGTTCCACCCCGCGTCCCAATGGGCGTTAATCGTCTTCGAGTCGTTTCTCAGGTCTCTGTTCCGAAGATGAGGAGAGGTTGGTGCGAGATCTGTTCCGTGGGTACAACAAACTCATCAGGCCCGTGCAGAATATGACGGAGAAAGTGCACGTGAATTTCGGTCTTGCCTTCGTGCAACTGATCAACGTGGTGAGGGAATTTTTTCACATTGAAATTGCTGCGATGAATGAATGAATAACTTGGCACTTGGATCCGTTCGATTTTAGTTTCTAACGAATGAGAAGAACTAAACGTCAACGTTTCAAACGATAATTTTACTTTTTATTTTTCAGAACGAGAAGAACCAAATTATGAAGTCGAACGTATGGCTGAGATTCATCTGGACGGATTATCAGCTGCAATGGGACGAGGCAGACTATGGTGGAATCGGAGTTCTCAGACTGCCGCCTGACAAGGTGTGGAAACCAGACATTGTATTGTTCAACAAGTATGTAACACGGTATCTCTATCTATCTCTGTCTCCACGTTCTTCCATCGAAGATTCCTTCGAGACAGTCGAGCTTTCAAATTTTGCAGCGCCGACGGCAACTACGAGGTGCGTTACAAGAGCAACGTTCTCATCTATCCGAACGGCGACGTGCTGTGGGTACCGCCAGCGATTTACCAGAGTTCCTGCACCATCGACGTGACGTATTTCCCTTTCGATCAGCAAACCTGCATCATGAAGTTCGGATCGTGGACGTTCAACGGCGACCAGGTCTCTCTAGCCTTGTACAACAATAAGAATTTCGTCGATCTGTCCGACTATTGGAAGAGCGGCACCTGGGACATCATCAGCGTCCCGGCTTACCTAAACACCTACAAGGGCGATTTCCCAACGGAGACGGACATCACGTTCTACATCATCATCAGGCGGAAAACCTTGTTCTACACGGTGAATCTTATTCTCCCGACCGTGCTCATCTCCTTTCTCTGCGTGCTGGTGTTCTACCTTCCGGCAGAGGCCGGCGAGAAAGTGACGCTGGGTATCAGCATTCTGCTGTCGCTGGTCGTGTTTCTGTTACTGGTCAGCAAGATTCTGCCACCGACGTCTCTGGTGCTGCCGCTGATCGCCAAATACCTGCTGTTCACATTCATCATGAACACGGTCAGCATCCTCGTCACCGTGATCATCATCAACTGGAACTTCCGCGGGCCGAGGACCCACCGAATGCCGCAGCTGATCAGGAAGATATTCCTCAAGTATTTGCCGACGATCCTGCTGATGAGAAGACCGAAGAAAACGCGTCTCCGATGGATGATGGAGATACCAAACGTCACACTGCCGACGTCCACCTATTCCGGAAGCCCGACCGAGTTGCCGAAACATTTGCCAGCCTCGTTGACCAAGTCGAAGATGGAAGTGATGGAGCTGTCGGATCTTCATCATCCGAACTGCAAGATCAACAGAAA